TATGCTGGTCATGTGCTGGCAAAGGACCAGCATAAATCAGCAAAAGTACCAGCATAAACCAGCAAAAGACCAGCTTAAACCAGCATCCTAGCGTCAAAACATACCTAACCAGCATATGCTGTTTTTTTCAACAGGGTGCTAGCAGGATTTAACATGTTGCTAGCATTTCGTTAACATGATTTAACATGTTACTAGCATGTTTTAGCATACTGCTAGCATGAGTAGCACATTGCTAGCATGAGTAGCACATTGCTAGCATGTTTTAGCATGAGTAACACGTTGTTAGCATGTTTCTAGCCTGACTCAACCACAGAGCAGTGCATGCTGGGAGGGTCGCATCCAAAGATGGTTTGGGTTTCTTCTGTCCAAGAGCAACACGCGGCACAGTGGCACGATTCAGGCTTCATGTAGCGTCACTCATAATGAAGCGCCTGTTTCAATCTCCCTTGTGTTGTAATGGTCGGGTTTAATTGCAGATTCAAGAAAAACACATCTGATTTATGCTATGTGAGTCCAATTTAAATAGAAAACACACAAAGGATTATTTTGACATGAGCTCGCACATTTTACGCCTCGTTGGCTGCATTTAGTGACAAATTACCAGAGGAAGTTATGTGGGAAGTGTGGTCAGATATGGTATATCAGAGAACGTCACATTAACAATAATCTATATTGGTAAATGATGGAAAAGATCAGACATTGAGAAGATGTAAACCATTGTTGCAAACGTAATTTGTGAGTGTTTCTTAGAAATCACACGCTAGACTAAACAAAACCTTGTTTTGGTAGGAAAACCTGCGTGTAAACTTGTAATTTAAAATTGAAGGAAACTGATAAAGTTAGGACAATACTCCATGGAGTTTAGTAGAAGAAATGAAATGTTAATATGATAAAGCAAACAAAGCTTGAGTGCACATGAATCTGATTACAGCTCTGAAATAAACTGTCATGTTATTCCCGTTCCAGACAACATTCCTTACGCTCAGAGCCAACATGAGCCTTTACAGTAGCATGCTCTACATACCTTTCTGTATTAAATATACATTGTTCATATTCATTATGTTCCAACATTTTATTGTATTAGTATATTCTATGGGAGCCCAGTTGAAGATTTTCCTTTAGAGGTTCCCAGGATTTAAAAATCCGGAGCTCTGAAGAAAATGTGAGTGACGCTTATCTGTGTAAAAACCTGCAGTGACAATGATAGGGTGTTATGGATGGTTGCCAAGGTGTTGCTATGCAGTTGTTAAAGTGTTCTAAAGTGTTGAGTGTTTTAGAGTGTTGCTATGTAGTTGTTAGGGTGTTGTGGATGGTTGCCAAGGCGATGCTATTAAGTTTTTAAGGTGTTCTGAGTGTTTTAGCATGTTGCTATGTAGTAGCTAAGATGTTGTAGATGGTTGTTAGGGTGTTGCTATACAGTTGGTAAGGTGTTCTAAGTGTTTTAGTGTGTTGCTATGTAGTTGTTAGGGTGTTGTGGATGGTTGCCAAGGCATTGCTATGCAGTTGCTAAAGTGCTCTGAGTGTTTTAGTGTGTTGCTATTTAGTTGTTAGGGTGTTGTGGATGGTTGCCAAGGTGATGCTATGAAGTTGCTAAGGTGTTCTGAGTGTTTTAACATGTTGCTATGTAGTTCTTAGGTTGTTGTGGATTGTTGCCAACGTGTTGTTATGCAGTTGGTGTTGTGAGTGTATTACCATGTTGCTATCTAGTTGTTAGGGTGTTCTGGATGTTTGCCAAGGCATTGTTATGCAGTTGCTAAATTGCTAAGTTGCTAAAGTGTTTTAGTGTGTTGCTATGCAGTTGCTAGGGTGTTGTAGATGGTTGCTAAGGCATTGCTCTGCAGTTGTTAAAGTGTTCTAAATTGTTAAGTGTTTTAGTTCGTTGCTATGCAGTTGGTAAGGTGTGGTAGATTGTTGGTAAGACGTTGCTATGCAGTTGTTAAAGTGTTGAGTGTTTTAGTGTGTTGCTATGAAGTTGCTAGGGTGTTGTAGATGGTTGCCAAGGCGCTGCTATGCAGCTACTAAAGTTTTCTGAGTGTTTTAGTGTGTTGCTATGCAGTTTCTAAGGTGTTGTGGAAGGTTGCAAACATTCGGCTATGTATTTGCTAAGTTGTTGGAGATGGTTGATAGGGTGCTGCTATGCAGTTGCTAAGGTGTTCTGAGTGATTTTCGCATGTTCTTATGCGGTTGCGACATTTGCATTGTTATGGTAATGCCGTACACACATTCATGTCATTTGATTGCATTCGTCACAGCAGCTGCATAAGGCATTATTATGTAACTTGGCTCTGGGCGCTTCATCACAGCACATATGGTTTGTGCTAGACTTCCAGACACTGCTTTTCCTCTACAGTCAGGTAAATTACAGCTGTCTGTCACTAACATCACACAGATCACGACTAACATGCGTGTTTTAACCGCTTCCAGCTGTTGTGAGCAGACTCAGTGTTCAGATGCTCTTCTCCAAAGTGTTTCTGATGATCTGGCCTCTGCCAATGGACCAATGAAATACAAATGCTGGCCTAAAAACTATAAATCACTAATGCAGTAATTGTGAGACAAGCTGATTGTAAATCTGGCCAAGTATTCAACAGTCTGCTAGGTAACCACACATAAGCTTGTGCACATGTATATATGAGTGTTTCTTCAACTATCAGCTATGCAATCACTTAATATACTAAACGACCTTAAAACACACTAGCATTGAAATTAAATTGCTGTAAATTAAAACACTGCTAACAATGCTGAACAGTTTATATACAGTGGGCAAAGAAAAGAATCACATTTTGTTGCTTTGCAAAGCAACAAAATGTGATTATTTTAAAGGGGGGTGATTCATTGTAGATTGGGACAAAATAGTTCACTATTTGTTTATCATAGTTTTTAAAATGCAATGATTGGAATTTTACTTTACTAATATTCATCGCTTGAGACAGAATGTTTGAGTCATAAGTAAAACAATAAAATCTGTCTAAAAGGCTTTTGAAAAGTAGCACAAACAAATGTCAACAGAACAGTTTTCCAAGTTTAATGTGACCTTTATATAATGAAAAGAAAAAAAAGAAATCTGTTCGTTTTAATAAAAATCAACCCCTGGGAAATGAAAGTGCTGATTGTTGAATAAACACCCGTTTGCGTGAGAGATAGTCGCCAAGCGCTCTTTTCTTTCGCACAGAGTCTGCGCGCTCACTGACGCCATCAGCAGTCGCCGCTGTCTGATTAGCATTCATCAGCGTCGGTCACCTGCTTCCCAGACGCCCCACTGTTTTAACCGGAGGCACCGTCGTTGACTGCAGGGGCGAGAGTGACCGAAACGGCCCACAGACACCGGACACTTACAAAGAAGACTAATAAACATGATTAGAAAGATGAAACAGAAAAGAGGGACTTGTATAAATGATGCCACCCACAACGTCCTAATGACTAAATCAATCACACAAGCTGGTGCCACAGTCCAGAGCCAACCAGTCAATGGGTCTGCACACAGAACGTAATGCGTCTAGGGGGAAAATTCATTCATTTATTTGAGAAATCATTTTGGCTTTGAACTTTAACATTACACTGTAAAAAATGCTGGGTTGTTTCAACCCAACTTTGGGTCAAATATGGACTAACCCAACTTTTGGGTTAAAAATTTAATGTAAAAATTAAACCCAACAGCTGGGTTAGTCCATATTTGACCCAAAGTTGGGTTGAAACAACCCAGCATTTTTTAGAGCGTAAGATCAAATTGCTCTATTCTCACTCGCTAGAGGAAAAAAACAGAAAAAAAAAAACAGTAAAAATGAATGACCCAAATATCAACAAGTGAGTGTTTATAATCATTGCCAGTGAAAAAGAAGTGCACTTAATTGTACTGAATGTGCATTTAGTGTACTTAAAAAATCTGCACTTACAGTTAATGTTATTTTAATGAAATAAAAGTCCACTTAAAGAGAGACACTTTTATGACTTATCACACTTGAGCATAGTTTAAGAAATTACTTAATCATGCTTTAAAGAAGTGCACTTACTTTGATGTGTTGACTAACATACTAAAGCACATGATTATGATTTTAACTGTAGCGTGTTATTCAATATTACTTGATATTAAGGTGGCATCATTTAATAAGTATATTATTATAAGTTAATATAATTTAAATGTACTAAATCGCAACTTAATTATTACAAATGTGTAATTACAAATATATATAAATACTGTATATGGCACACAAGTTTCAATTATAGAAATGACATTAAAGTATATTTAGTTTACCATAAATGCTTGTCGGTACTTTAACCATAGTTCAAAGACAATATATATAATTATGAAATGACATATAAAAATGTCCTACTTAAGTGGGTCAAAAAAAAGCACTGAAAGTTCAGCTTATTTCACTTAATATAAATTTAAACTATAATACATTTTTATTTAATTGCAAACATAATGCAATTTAGTGTCCAAAAACATTATATGCAATGTGCACTTAAGTATATTCTTTTCATAATAAGTACTCTTTTTAAAAGTATGTTAAAGTGCACGTCTTTTTCACAAGAGAAGCGTCAACATTTGGACTCCCTTTATTAAACGGCTATAGCAGTTTGTCTCATTTCAGAGCTCTAATCCATCAATTTAGTTGATAAACTGCATCATTAAAGTACATATGTCAACAAATACTGTGGTTGGAAGACAATACCAAGAGATTTTGTTTTTGTTCTATGTAAAATATTACCCAAATATCTTTCATTGTTCTGTCATATAACAGGTGAGGGGGAACAGATGGACCTGCATTGATCATGTTTTATCGTCCGTATTATTTTCAATACATTATTTTGTTATTCAATATTCAGTTTCTTGCTGTGTTCTGATGGATCATCCGTCTGAGCCGCGTCCAGGCCGCTCAAAGCCTCCAAACAAAACATCACACACTCTTCACAGCGAACAATGCGTTTGGTGTTGCCAACATTCACACAGAGGAGTCCAGCGCTCTAATCTGAAGAAAAAGAGAACTAAAATCTCTTACCTTTCAAAGCCCAGCTGTCGTATCGATCTCTCCCATGATGAGCCTGCAAACATACAACACAAGGAGGTGTTCAAAACAGCATGAGATGAAGAGACACTGAAGTTTTCAATCTGTGATGTGATGTAGTGGCTAAAGCTGAAGGCTGGTCATCAAAAGCTTGCTTGAACCATGAAAGTAGTGAACTATGAACCATTGGCTGTTCATTGGATTGTGAAAAGTCTCTAAATGACAGAAAATGCTCGCTGACGTCAGCCGAAAAGGAAAGTCATTTCAGAGTCATTTATATTATCTTATAGGTTGATTTTGAAACATTATGAAAACATTTTGTTTTCATTAGATTAACATGCACTGATAAATTATTCAGCTTGATTGCATTCGTTTTCATAGTAATTCAAACTATCTGGGTTTATGCTTAAATATACAGTATGAACATATTGGGGGAAAAAACTAAGATGTAAAGCTATTTACGTATGCACAGCTTTAGAAATGTAGCCTAAAAAATTTTAGGAAACCTAATGTTCTTATATTCATAATATTTTTATATTCTAAATATTGTTTTATATTTATTTTTTACTCTATATATTTCTGAGGATTAAGATTTTTTTTTTAAATGAAAAAATTAATTATCACTTTTATTCATCAAGGCGCATTCAATTGATCAAAAGTGACAGTAAAGACATTTATAACGTTGCAAAGATTTCTATTTCAAATAAATGCTGTTCTTTTGCACTTTCTATTCATCTGTGAATCCTGAAAAATAAAATGCATCACAGTTTCCACAACAATATTGTGCAGCACAACTGTTTTCAACATTGATAATAATCAGAAATGTTTCTCGAGCAGCAAATCAGCATATTAGAATGATTTCTGAAGATCATGTGACACTGAAGACTGGAGTAATGATGCTGAAAATACAGCTGCGCATCACAGAAATACATTACAGTTTAACAGAGATTCACATATGAAACCGCTGTTTGAATTGTAAAAATATTTTACTGTATTTGATCAAATAAATGCAGCCTTGATGAGCAGAAGAGACGTCTTTCAAAAACATAAATAAATCTTACCAACCCCAAACTTTCGAAAGCTAATGTAGATGCAGATGCAAGATTTAACAAGTAATATGTATTAAAAATTTGACTTCATTGGACTTAAACCATGCTTTAAGTGTACTGTAACCAGTGTTAACTAGTAGCAACTAGTTACTGTAATAACATTACTTTTTGCAGTAGAGTTAGTGTAACTAACTACTAGTAAGATTTCAGTAATAATATTAGTTACCATCCATAAAACAGCTTGTTACTTAATTACTTTTGATGCCTCAACCCCTACTGATTTAAAATCCGACAATCCAATAATTCATTTTCATAATTTTCACGACTCGCATTAATTGACAATTAATACAACACTTTTACTTAAAAGTCACTATCAATCACCACTGAGTGTTTGTAAAAACTTCTGACTGCGATCCAATGCAGATTTTAGTCAAATGATGAGGCAGAAATATATTGTTAGTAACATTTTAAAATAATTTTATGTGGAAGATACACAATTACAACTTCTGTGGGGCGTGAAGGAAAAGTAATGTAACCAGTAGTGTAACTAATTACTGTTGCCAGATAGTAATAAGTAAAGTAATAATATAACTTGTGAAAGGAGTAACTAGTAACGAGTAATAAATTGCATTTTTGGAGTAACTAGCCCAACACTGATTGTAACACACAAGTCGCTTTAGATAAAAGCAAATGACGGTAACACTTTATTTTAAGGAGTCCCTGTTACACATGTTACATGCACTTACTATTATAATAACAATTAATTATGCATAATTACATACAAGTAACCCCAATCCAAACCCTACAGTAAGTACATGTAGTTAATATTACTCAGTATTTAAATGTATAATTACACTGTAACAACGACACCTTAAAATAAAGTGTAACCCAAATGACTTCTTATTTACAAAATGCATGTGAAACGGCATTGTTTTGGTGTTATTCTGTCTTTCATTCGACCCAGAGGCACGACGAGACGAGCTGAGCAGAGAAATGACAAATGTTGTACCTGGTGTGCATGAGCTTCAGACACCTCATTCACATCAGTCCAGAGATTCAAACCATATGCTGTGAACCACACACTGCGCGCCACAGATATATCACCAGATCCTGCGCGTTTCACAAGCCCTGATGCAGAACACTCACGAAAACATTTGGCAACGCTTTATTGTGTTCTAGCTTTTTGTCGGCAGAAAGTGCAAACAAAACATCACGTGATTCATAGCATACTGTGCTGCCCTTCAGTAAGAGTTTGTACTTGAGTAAGACGTCTGTTTACAGGGACACTTCCAGGTATTCTGTGTCTCCGCCAAGAGAAATACACGACTTTCAGTCGATCCTCCAAGACTGAAGCTATTGTCCAAGATTTGACAAATTATTAGTGATGTAATTAGGTTGTTCATTGCTTGACAACTGAATCGCATTGGCAAACTGGAAAATGAGCAAACCGGAAACACTATAAGAACAAAAAATGATTAAAAACCACTCGTATATCTTTGACATCACGTGGCATCATCCAAAATATGTTCAATTTCATATTAAAGACATAGTTCACCCAAATACAAACATTATCTGAAAGTGTGCTCATCCTCAAGTCAGCCAAGATGTAGATGAGTTTGGATGATTATGGACTCAATGTATTTTAGTTAAAAAGGTCTTAATGCTGGATGTGTTTCAGCTTTTGTCTTCTCCAGATGTTAACTGATGGACTGGAGTGCTGTGGATTACTTGTGGATTATTGTGATGTTTTTATCAGACTCTCATTCTGACGGCACCCATTCACTGCAGAGCATCCAAGAAATTTCAGAATTGTTTTTAAGACTTGATTCTACAAGGATGCATCAAACTGATTGAAATTGACACTTAGAGACATTTAAAGAGTTTGTTTTTCAATTAAATGCTGTCCTTATGTTCTTTCTACTCATCAAAGAAAAATATCCAAGTACAAAGTTTTACTTAGATAACAAAATAAAACAATAAAAAATCATGCATAATAAGGACATGCATTTACTTAAAAGAAAAAAATATATAAAAAATAAATGTCAAATGTTATACTTTGTTTCCATTTTATATTTTGTTTCCAAAATAATAAACCATATGCATAAGCATTAAATTCACAATGCTGACAAAAAGACTTGCTTACAGGTTTTCACTTGACATTTACACGACATACACCCTTAAATCACTAAATACCTGAATCTAAATCAGTCGTGTAAGAAAGCATAGATAGGTAATAACAGTATTTAAGCAGGCCATCGCTTTCTTTTCTCTGGTGAGTATCCAAATACTTTTGTTAAGCCCAATTACTAACAGACACCAGATTTTTTTTTCTTCTTATAGAGACGTTAACGAATATGTCTAGAGTCTAAGATCAAAGCTCAGAGAGTTTCCTTGTTGACATATAATGCTATATTTGGAAAAGCTCTATCAAGTCAAACTGAGTTGTGATATCAAGAGCGATCAGAGAATGCAGAATCATCACAGCTCATAAAACATTCCAACATTTCACATCTAAAGTCCAGCGGTAGTTCTGGTTTCTCCAGACGGGCTCCTGCTGTGTCGGGTGGAGATCTCAAGGCCTTCATGATGACGCTCAGGAAGGAGCGCGGTCTTCTAAACAGAGACTGCTCGATTGAAAGCCTGATGATTTCATTATACTTCTTTGTGGGAAGACTGAAAACACACGGAGATCAGGCTGAACTCCTCGTTCGTTTCAGACCGTCTGGGAAAGTTATCAAGCCAGCGGGGAAATAAAGCAGCGTATCTTCTGTCTGGAGTCCACATGAAGCGACTCGCAGAGAAGGTGTGGAGCTTATTTGGAGAGATTCGGTTTAGATGTTTTCAGATGTGGTCGTCATTTTCATTCTCAGTTATTTTCATAATATCACCCGAGGAGAAGTCCAACTAAAAACAAGCCCAGTGGTTTCTTATTGTTGAAACTCAGCCATCCGCGTGGTTGTTCACATAGATGTACTGCTAAAAGCGGTTTAAAAACCATCTCTTTTTATTTCATTTCTTTTCTTTTCTAAGGTATGGAAGCCCATTTCCACCAAAGAGTAAAAAAATAAAACAATTAATTGTGAGATAAAGCTTAAAATAAGAACATTTGAGTGAAACAAATTCACATTGTGAGATATAAAGTCACAATGTTGACATATTAATTTGCTTTGTGACATAAAGTTACAATTCTGAGAAACATCTATGCAATTACAAAAAATGTAGGTTGCCATTAGAAGAAGTAAAATGATTATTACTTCACTACTACTATTTATTTTAGTCATAAAAGTACAACACTAACTCTCAAAATACACAACAATAATTTATACACTGTAAAAACACTCATTTTTCAAAGTTGCAAATAAAACAAAGATGATTGGATTATGTTTTATAAGAAATTACTATTTCAATTTTTTCAATTTTTTTTAACTTGCATTTTCTTTTTAATTATTCATGAAATGTACTTGCAATTTCTGAGTGAAAATGATTTCAAAGTAAATCCTGCACCAGTTTTTATGTGTATGTATTGCATTTATTTTTTTAAATCGTTAAATTAAAAATCCCTGAATATATACACTACTGTTCAAAAGTTTGGGGTCGTTAAGATTTTTAAAAATGTTTTTGAAAGTCGTCTCTTCTGCTCACCAAGGCTGCATTTATTTGATCAAAACAGTAATATTGTGAAATGTTATTTTCTATGTGAATAAACTGTAATGTATTTCTGTGATGCGCAGCTGTATTTTCAGCATCATTACTGCAGTCTTCAGTGTCACATGATCTTCAGAAATCATTCTAATATGCTGATTTGCTGCTCGAGAAACATTTCTGATTATTATCAATGTTGAAAACTGTTGTGCTGCACAATATTTTTGTGGAAACTGTGATAGATTTTATTTTTCAGGATTCACAGATGAATAGAAAGTTCAAAAGAACAGCATTTATTTGAAATAAAAATCTTTTGTAACGTTATAAATGTCTTTACTGTCACTTT